AATCTTATGAGAAATAAAGTTGTTTACGCTTGTGTATTTTATCCAAAAACGATTTTAAAATAATATTTATTTCCGGAAACGTTTTCTATAGTTGGGAGTTAGGGATAACTACTGAAATACTTTTACTGAGCGACAATAATTCGTTCATTGTAAAGTTCAAATCAGATGCTACTTTCCTTTTGAGAAATGTTCGTGTCTACCCAGAGAATAAATTATTAGCGCAATATTTTTCATAATTGGAGTCAATTATAAGGCTTTCTTGATAACCGTGAAGCCAGTTATGATTACAAATACTATGACAATACAAAGTTGGTCGTAATAAGACAATGTTATTAGTAGTAATAATAGTAACAATAATTATAATAAAGATAAAACAATAATGGTAACACTAAGAACAACAGTAACTGTAATAATAATATGAATGACAATAATGAGAATAAGCATAATGGCCATGATAGTGATAATGACTAATAATGATTATGATAAAAATCATAATGATAATAGTAATAAAAATAATGGTATGAATTATAATAACAATAATAAAGATCATGAAAATGATGATTATGAAAGTTAAACAATAAAGATGAGGATGAAAATTATATTAATGATGATGATAATGATGATAACAATCATAATAATATTGTTTGTAATGATGATAATAAAAAGAGTGCCACATAAATGATAAAGATAACAGTAATAATGATGGTGGTAGTTATAAAAGATAAAACTGATGATGATAATGGAAATGATAATTGTATTCATAATGAAAAAGAACAAAAATATTACAGTAATAAAAACAATAATACTAATACAAGCGATAATACTAACTATAATATTATTATCAGTATTATTCCTCATTGTTAAAGGGAAGCATCGACCTGAGCACTAGCCCGACGGTCATTGTCTAGTAAAAACCAGCCGCGGGCTAGTAAAATGCACTACTTAGCTAGCTCGGCGGACTTAAAAAGTAGACAATCATATATGATCAAACAGGTTCCACCCCAAGCCAAGAGTCGACCCGGAACTTTTTTAAAGTAAGAAGTTACAATAAATTCATTGATGATCTTTTAATCTAACTCAACGAGAGTGTTTAATTAATTTTGCGTTAAATTCAATATTTCGGCTAGTAAAACTTCATGCGGGCTGGTTAAAATAAACAATTTACTAACCAAGTGGGTTATTTCATTAAAAAAAACTGTAAGTGCAAGGTTATTATCATTATCATTATTATTAGTAGTAGTATCATCATTATTATTATTATTATCATTATCATCATTATTATTATCATATTATTATTATTATCATTATTATTATCATTATCATTATCATCATTATTATTATCATTATTATTATCATTAATATTACTATTAACAGTAGTAGTACTATCATTATTCGCAATAACAATAATAAGAAAAAATATAGTAATCATAATGAGAAGAAAAAACAAAAGTAATAAATAGCTGCAAGTCAGTTTAAAAAGTAAGCATAGATAAGATAGGTGGTCAGGTCGGTAGACAGACGACAAACAACATACAGGAAACTAAATTAACAAGGAAGATAAGCATTTGTTATCATTTTTGTCATCACTTTCCTGAATAGTGTCGGATCCAGAATGTTTGAAAGGGGGGGGGGCGTGACAAAAAACAGTGACAAAGGCGCATAATTTAAGGTTTCGGGGTATCAGTGGACTGAAAATTGCACGTCTATGTAAATTAATTATATGATTTATGATATAAACGTATCAGTAGTCATTACGAGATTCTGGCCTCCATGGTTTTGACAAGGAAAAATAACAACACATTTAGACACTTATCAACGCGCCGGTATCTGACTTCCTTGACACTGGCTTGGCGTTCTTGTATTCCGGGTCTGGATTCGTCGCTCAACCTCTGGCTTACTAGGACAGAACGACGAGAAGTAGCGAGAGATTGCTATAAATTATTAGCGCCTCTTTTGATGACGGTGGGACTCGCTCAGGCGGCAGGTCTGGGCGTCAGAGAAGAGTAATAGCATGGGAGTTCTTCCACTGAGCTACAACAATGGCCTGTCGGAGAGGGCGATCGCACACCTGCACACACGTAGGGTTCCTGTTAATGAACGTAGGTGCGAACCGGTGTGAAGGGGATTGTTATTGTGGTATACAGTGAACCCTCGCGTTTTTTCGCGTTCTCGCTGCTTCACGGATTTGCATTGTGCATTGTGTTCTGCATTCTGATTGACTAAACAGTCTCTCCGCTTCTTCTATACCTGTGTCAATAACGTTACGGTTTAATATGTACATGTACGTAAAACAGCTTGCCAAATTTAAGTTTGCAAACTTTCTCTAAAACCCATGAAGCCTTCAGTTCGTATTGATGATTAAAATTATTATTTACAGTACAGTACTTATTTGTAAAAACGTTTTATACAGTACTTTTATTTGTTAAACAAATGCTTGGGCCTGTAAAAAGGTTTTGTTCTTTGGTTTCAATGTATTGTAGAGTATTTCATTGTATAATAATTGTAAAAAAGTAAAGGTTACTACTTCACGGATTTCGCCTATCACGGGTTGTTTTTGGAACGTCCTTCGTTGTCTTGTGCGGGCAAGGCGAACTTTAACATTGCCTTTCTGTCTGAATATCTGCATATCTACCAACTCATCTACGTCTGTCTGTCTCTCTTTCTTTCTTTCTTTCTTTCTTTCTTTCTTTCTTTTCTTTCTTTCTTTCTTTCTTTCTTTCTTTCTTTCTTTCTTTTCTTTCTTTTCTTTCTTCTTTCTTTCTTTCTTTCTTTTCTTTCTTTCTTTTCTTCTTTCTTCTCTTTCTTTTCTTTCTTTCTTTCTTTCTCTCTCTCTCTCTCTCTCTCTCTCTCTCTCTCTCTCTCTCTCTCTCTCTCTCTCTCTCGTAGAGGTCTCTTAATTGATATACAGCTTCCTAATGGACTAGTGGAAGCAATGATAGATTATGCGCCTTTGACACTTTATTAGAGTTACAACATTAGAAGAATACAATTGCACAACACACATATAAATAATTAAATCCGGTGCCTTGGTGCTGTGCCTGGACAGTAACTCGAGCCGATGGCCAGACCTGGGCCTCGGCTGGAGGTGGAAACACCATGGCGCGTGTACTCGTTCTCTCGGGGCTTCGGAAGCCAGATCAGGTCGCTTTGGCAACAATAGTTTTAGGGCATGGTTAGGGTCCACGTGGCGCTTAGGCAACGTTACGAGGTAAAGTCATTTTAAATATATATTTGAGGTATGGGAAATCCAGGTTTTGCGACCGTCATATCGCTGGGCCACCAATATCCGACTCGCCCTTGAGGCACCATAGATCTGTCCTCAAAAATTACTCCCTCTGCCTAGTCGTGCCTGACTGACCCTCCTCCTCTCCCCATTCTCTCTCTCTCTCTCTCTCTCTCTCTCTCTCTCTCTCTCTCGAATGTATCTTAACATTTGTATGCAAATTGTAACCGTGTACCATGGGTAGTGACGCGAGGTAAACCGACCTTTTTTTACGCGCACTGCAAGTTAATTTAGAAATGAGGACAAAAGTTTATCAAATTAAACAACAAAGATAAAGAATTATAGATAAGGGAGTTACAATCGGTAAGATTAATACCAGTTTACTACGTCTACAAAACCCAAATTATACTTTGCCTGCTTATGAACCCTTCTACAGGAGCCGCTGAACTGCTCTCGGCCACCCTGAAATAACTATCTCCACGACAGCGTCCATAAACGGCGCGGTAGGAAGCGGCTGAAAACGCCCAGTCAAACTAAATAAGTTGTTTTGACTTCAGTAACAGCTGAATAATGAACGCTGTATAGATAGGATGCGTAGCAGACTTTTGATGAAACAGACGGTGGTGAACTTATCAACTGTACATTTTATGGTTGAAGACTAGCGACAGCACCCACACGTTTTTTCTCAGCCTTATATTACAGTAAATTGTAAAAAATAATAATAATGATAAAAATAAAAAATGAAGGAAACAGAAACAGAACTACCTGTTCAAGCACTCGTAAAGTTCTGATGGCCATGCATCTTTATATATATATATATATATATATATATATAGTATATATATATATATAGTATATTATTATATATATATATATATATATATATATATATATTATTATATATAATATATATATATATATATACTTATACATATACATAAACATATACGTATACGTATACATATACATACACACACATACACATACATTAATATACGTGCTTCCCACACGCATACACACACACACGCATACGCACACACGCACAGCGCATGTACACATTTATTTTATTTATTTATTTATCCATGTGTGTGTTTTTAAGGATGTTTGCTACAATAAACATATACTGCACACGCACATACTCGCACCATTGCAAATTCTTGATTTTGAGAGGATTTCTCATAAAAAATGTTATGATTGCCAATGTTGTTGATTTGTTACCCTGGGATAAAAATAAGATGATCAAAGTAATCCATATATATTTCACGTATCATATGTACAGTATTATGTATTTTCTATTACAAAAAGGAATTAAGTTCTTTACAATACAAATATCTTACGGTTTCTATTTTGCTAAGGATATTGCAGTATCTATATAATTTCATACATTTCCATATATGGATAAAAGCTTCAATACAATATACATTATAAAGTCAAAGTAAGAAATGCAAATTTCTAAATAATAAATAATCTCTTCGGAATTGTACACATAAATGTATGCTTTCAGAAATGCTAATTTTTGAATCTAATTTTATATACTTATACCTATTTTCCTTTTTAGACACAAAAAACACAATGGAATATCTATTTTGCAGTCACACGAGCAAACAGTAAACTGCGAAAGACTTTGGGAAATAACAAGAATAAAGAAGTTAACAAACTAATATATATCAAACCGCCATAAAAATATAACACGTTTAATTGGTTGACCAATTAGTGTCAGTCTCTTCTCTTTCTCTCCCCTCCCATCTCTTCTTTCTTTCTTTCTTTCTCCCTCCCT